CCATACACACACACAAACACACACACACAAACGCACACACAAACACACACACACACACACACACACACACACAAATACACACACACACACACACGCACTTCGATAACCCACTTAAGCAGCCAACAACTGACATTTTAAAAACCTGTTATGAAATCCTCAAACTCACGCTCACATGTAGACCTATGCATATTCATGAGCTCATTAATATTACATTTCATGTCAGTTTCAACTTTTACCACACACAGACACACAGACTAGGCAGGTGAGGCAGAAAGTAACCGATGATTGTGATAGTCACGAGGAATTATCCAATACAAAGATAGAACATAATATAGGTCTGACAGCTTACTTTATTCTCCTGCTATTTCATTCCTTTATTCTTTCTTTCTATCCTTTTTTTTTTCGATCCAGTACAAAAATTGAACATAAAGTGATGATAGCTTGATATTTTCTGCTGCTATTTCATTCCTTTATTCTTTCTTTCTACCCTTTTTTCTTTCTATCTTTTTGGCAAAGAAGGTTAGGGCGTGCAATGGTGTTTAGTTTTAGTAAGTGTTTTACGCCACTTGTAACACAATAAGGTCATATCAGTGCCGAAGATTAGATCATGTGTTACAAGAGAGTAACAAACACGAAGGAGGAGAGATAAGGACGACAGATGTTTGATAGAAAAGAAGGAGTAAACCACACCAGAGAAACCGCCAAAAACCCACCCTTTTTTCTATTTTTTCCCCAAGGGTGGTTGGCGGGTGCTCTGGTGTGGTTTCCTCCTTCTTTCCTATCAAACATCTATCGTTCTTATAATCTCTCCTCTTTGTGGGTGGTTGGCAGGTGCTCTGGTGTGGTTTCCTCCTTCTTTCCTATCAAACATCTATCGTTCTTATCTCTCCTCCTTCTTTCCTTTGTTTGTTACTCTCTAGTTACATCATCTCATCTCTGCGTTACTTTAATGACCTAATTGAGTGGCAAGTGCCGTAAAACTCTTACTAAAAGTACAACTAAAAACTGAATTGAAAGCAACCAATAAATGTTAAATATGTTAGTCATGACGCACCATTCAGTATAACGTTTTTTAGATACAACAGCACGTGGTGACAGCTTAGTCTCTGTTATTTCATGTATTTCTTCTATTTTCTTTTTAAATCAACTAAAACAGAGAACGATCCAGTTGTTTTGTAACGTCACTATTTTACAGCACTTGCAACACAATAAGGTCAGATAAGTGAAAAATTGTGAAATGGTATAGGTTTAACGTCCCTATCAACACTATTAGCTTATTTAATTATGAGGCGGGACCTCCGAGTTAAACGTCCATCTCCTAAAGGTCCAGGCCAATAAATGGGCCATTTGCCTGAAGTGTCTTTCCTAAAGACACAACGTCGCACCAAACTGAAGTTAAATACAAGTTGAAGACTAAAGCAGAGAGGTGTTACAAGACAGTAAAAAAAGACATGAAAGGGAAGAGGAGAGATAGTTTTAGTTAGGGTTTTACGGCACTTGCAACACGATAAGGTCATATAAGTGCCGAAGATTAGAGGTGTTACAAGAGAGTAACAAACACAAAATAAGAAGGAGGAGAGATAAGGACGATAGATGTTTGACAGGAAAGAAGGAGGAGAGATAAGGACGATAGATGTTTGATAGGAAAGAAGGAGGAGAGATAAGGACGATAGATGTTTGATAGGAAAGAAGAAACAAACTACACCAGAGCACCCGCCAACCACCCACAGAGGAAAGATAAGGACAACATAATATAATATGTCTGACAGACCGTTTGAGCAGGTTTGACTGTATCCTTTTCTTCTCTCTATCATTTCCCTCCGTCTAGTTGATCCTCCTCTCCCACACCTGTCACCCTCTCGAGTCAGGGAGAAATAGTTGTGTGACATCGTGGGGAAATCAGGCGCTCGTCAAAATAATGAAATAGAAGAAACAGGAAGTTTTTCGGCGAATGAGCAATTCTTTATAAATGTTTTTCCTATCTTTTTTTAGTTCAACACCCATGATGTCAATTCTAAAACACATTTCTGTTTGGGTTTTTAGTGAAAAACGTAAATAGAAGACACAAAAAATATAAACTTGCAGTTTCCAAGTTGAAAATCTATGTCCACCATTTTCTCACTAATCCTATCTTTGATGCCAGGCCATACCATACCATTGCCCTATTTCAGCCTCAAATATGTCGACTTCTATTCAAGATAGATGGGTATTTTTAACCCAAAAAATACAAAAAATAAGAGAAATGGATAAGCAGTAAGATAATACCAATAACTCACTAATATACCCAAAGAATTGACGAGCGCCTGATTCCACCGCGTCGGGACACAAATACATTTAATTTCACCTGGCTGGTCACTGTAGACTGCTAGATCTAGTTCGTGTGTCGTCTATGCTTTCGGAGAAAATTAGCATAATTATTTTTGTCAGTTTAATTGTTTTGTTTATGAGTCTGTCTGTCTGTCTGTCTGTCTGTCTGTCTGTCTGTCTGTCTGTCTGTCTGTCTGTCTGTCTGTCTGTCTGTCTGTCTGTATGTCGGTCTATGTTTCTCTCTGTCTATCAGTCTCTCTGTATCTCTCTTCATCTCTCTCCCTCCGTCCCTTTACGCCCTCCTCCGCTTCTCTCTTTCTCCTGCCACTCTTTCTCTCTCTCCTCTCTCTCTCTCTCTCTCTCTCTTTCTTTCTTTGTAATTTTACTTTCTCTCTCTTTCACACACACACACACACACACACACACACACACACACACACACACACACACATACAAAGAGATATTAATTCTTCCAATAACTACTCAAATATACGGGTAACCACGTTCATTTATAGAGAGATTAAATACACACATAAATATTGTCACTGACACACACGCCCACATAATCATGCACGCA